AGTAGTAGTAGTAGGAGCAGCAGCAGGAGTCGTAGTAGTAGTAGTAGTAGCAGCTGTTGTTGCTGCTCTTGATGGGGCGGTCGTGGTTGTGGTGGTGGTGGTTGTTGTTGTTGTTGTTGTCGTTTTGATGTGAAAACCAGAACATGTGCTCCATTGGCTGGGGCATTGGGGTTGTCGAAATTCGTGTCGTGCCTTTGGCCTTTCAGGGTATCCGACCCCCTTGGTCGCGCACCATGCAATCCCAGGATGCAAGACGCCACGGCTCGAGGGACCTGGCTCGCTAAGGAGGCCGCCCAAGCTTAGCTTGTGAGCTTCAAACGATCATGACGACGACGACGACGATGGTCATGATGTTGACGATGATAACGATGCTGAGTACAGCGATGATGAGTGATGACGGCGAGGCCATACATGCCAAGAAACAGCAGTAATAACATACTGGTGTTGGTTATGGTAATGATGATGAGGCGGAAGACGACGATGATGCTGGTGGCATTGGTAACATCAGGATCATAAGGCTTAAGATTATGAGGACCAGCATAATTGCGATAGACAAGAAGCCTATGACGATGATGTTGGTGCTGGCATTGATGGAGATTTGAGGGTTCTGCCTGATAGTCGATCACTGCCCATTGTGGCGGTCGCAGTTGCTTCCTTCTGCTGCTGTGCTGTTGCTTCTGTCCTCGTAGACCTTGCTGCTGTTGCTGCTGCCGTTGGCATGAACTAACTAACGCGTGCATGCATGAATGAATGAATGGCTGCTGCTGCTGCTGCTGCTGCTGCTGTTGTCGTTGTTGCTGTTGCCGTTGTCGGGTTCTTGAGGTGGTTGTGGTGGTGATGCTAGTCGTGGTCCTGGTCCTGGTCGTCATCGTCCTCGTGGGCGTCGTTTTGGAGGACACGCCTAGTGATGACAACCGCGAACAACCATGGCTACAGTGATACCCCAGATGAAGCAGAGTGTCTTGCTGAAGATGTTGATGGTGCTTCGCCAAGGTGCCGATGTCTGAAGATGATGGTGGTGGGTCTGCGGCAGTGATGCTGATGCTGTTTTGAATGCGCTGGCGAAGGACTTCATGAGTGCTGTTGCTGAGGTTGTCAAAAAAGTGTTTAATACCGCTTTGCAGCAGGCTTCTTGGCTCCAGGTGCCCAAAGATTCGACAAGACTGCCGGCTCCGACCTCGAGTCGTAGCGCGTCGACGTCCATCGCTGCAGTGGTGCCATGGCGAATTGCTCAAGGGATAGCGGCAAGGACTTGTTCAGCGTTTATGGGTGAGAGTTTTCGATTTTCAGCTAGGCTTCTGTATGTTTTTGACTCAGAACCAGGACGCCGCTGTGAAGTCAAGGCTCGAATCGTAAAGCGCAAAGCCGAATTCCCTAAGCTGCACCTCTGAAGGAACTGGCCTCTTCATATTAGTTTCTGTTTTGCTGATGATGACACGAGATCGGGTTGAGGGCTCAGGGCCTTGAAGAATGGCTTCGAAGAATATGTTGAGCCGAGCTTTGGAGTCTAGTTGAACCTGGAAAACCGCACCCTCAAAGCCGGGAACATGCCTGCAGGACGCCTCATGTGGAGAAGCTCTTAGTCAAAGCGGCTTGATGCTTTGGTAGTCTGGGTCTTTGGAACTGCATTTAGGCTGCACGGCTTCCTTTGGGTTCCCGTTGAAGATTTTGTGGTCCCTATAAGCTGTAACTACGCTCCTTCTAAGCCTGGAGCAACCTTGGACAAGGCATCGCTTTTTACACGATCTCATGCTCGAAGTCCTGTCCTGCCAAGCCAGCTCGGAGAAGAAATCCTGCACGTCATCTCAGTAACGCGAGAGCCAGCTGTCGTCGAGCTGTGCAGTGGACGACATTCCAATCACCATCTCCTCATACCTCTGCCAGATGTGGACATGTCGCTCGGTCGTGCAAGCAACACAACGCACCATAGGAGAGACTGAAGACTGTTGTAGAATACAGCGAATTGTAGAAAGAGGCAGCCCGAACTTGGCAATGTCCACACCCTGTTCCTGCCAATGCACCGAAGCCTGATTCTTTACAGATACCAAGACTTCCAGTGACGTTTCTCACTGGAACATTGGCAGATGACAACGCCTTTTTACAGGCTGTACCTTGTGCGGCGAGAAGTGTGGGTGCGCGTTGTCATTGTCAAGGACCAATGCAAGGTACATACTCAGATATTCAGTGATCGTAAGCTTCACCTCTACATCTTTATGTAACATATCAGAACCTACGCAGCGCCACATACCCAGCCACAAGTTCGTTGGCATGGTGGCTTGCAGCAAAGCTGCTTCCAGTTTGGAGCCTGTTCTTCGCTTGCTTGACAGCATCGTTCTGTCGAGTCATGGAGGATGGCATCCATACTCCACTTCAGTACGTATCCTGCCATCCTACGCATCGGCACACTCAGTTCAGGAGGGCTGTTACCATGCAGTCTCGACGTGCTATCCGTTCTGATCTGCAAAACTAGATATGTCGTTGAAGGCACGCTGAAGATTGTCGTCAGCCTCAGACTTTCATGTTATGGCTGCTCTGAAGTGTTTCTTATGTTATCATCTACCAAGCAGTGTCAAACGTCAGCTCTCATGGTGTCTCGTTGAGAATGCGAACTTATTCAGAGTGCCAACAGTTTCGGCTTCACGGGCGTGTGAGCCGACAAAGCACAGCCCTCCATAGACTGTCCAGGATGGGTCGAGAATCCACTGTTGAACTCAGCACTGCTGCTTTACTGTTGCATAGACAGCTGCCAACACCTTACCCTAACTACTCCACAATGCGGAACCACCCGAATTATCTCTTTTGGGATGCCTACTGCCGACTTGCATTGTTCCGAGCGCCCAAGCCCAGGGTCCAATCCTTCTAGCCCAAGGCCACGTGCCCTGAACCCACTCCGGGTGCCCATAATATATACTCCTTTGACCAATATGCACGAACCGACCCTCCACTCGCAGCTGCAGGAGTTTGGGCTTAGGGAGGCAGAGGGTTAGGAGAAGCAGCGAAAGCTGAATCCGAAATGGGCCAAGAGCTGATACTTGCCAACTCGCCAGACTCCGCTGCACGTCGGAACCATTGCAATGACACACGTCTGAAAGCAAACATCAACACGTGAGAGTCCGGTCATGCCTATGCCGAGATGCATCCGCTTGGTCTGCGGACGATGACCAAGTAGCCAAGCACCCAAAAGCCAGCTCAGGCTTCTCCCACTTGGGCAAACCTTCGTATCATCCTCCAAAACCAAGCATGTGCAGAGTCTTCGCCACTAGAGTCATGCAGGAATCATGGAACAGTGGCGCTAAAGAGCGAGGGAGAGAGAGAGAGAGAGAGGGAGAGAGAGAGCGACAGAGGGAGAGAGATGGAGTGAGAGTGAGAGCGAGAGAGTAAGAGCGAGAGAGAGAAAGAGAGAGAGATAGAGACAGAGCGAGCGACAGAGGGAGAGAGAGTTCTCTCGACATGGCTCCATCTACGTATTGGTTTGCCATGTAGAAAAAGAAAGCCAGAGTTCGTCGTTGGTTCGCGGGCTGAGCGTGACAGGTTTGAGCAACGCGGCAATGCGCAGCAAACGTTTCTCAATACAACATACACGCGGCCAGGGCATCTGAAGCCCAAGGTACGGGAGATTGACTGTGCTGGGGTGCACCACGAATTTCTCAGGAGTTTCTCTGAGAGCACGCCTGTGCCTTCCTCAGTCGTTTCGGCTTGAACACAAGGGCCGCGAGCCAGCGCCCGTGCATGCAACTCACCTAGACTGTGTCGCTAGTACCATTGGAGCAGACATTTACAACTACGAAGGCTGCAAGTCCGTACCAAAGGCTTGGCCGTCTCGGCGCCCACGACCGTGAGTAGAAACCTTACTTTACTCCCTTGCCCCCTTTGAACATGTCAGGGTAAAGGAGGACAACTAACTAAGGTTGGATTGCCAGATGAAGTAAATGTCTTTCCAACAGATCAAGCTTTTCGAGGCCTGCCAGTAGGTGCTAGAATGTTAGCCGATTCTGAGGTAGACTCTCTGGTCGACCACAGCACGAATTCAGCTGCGTAGAAGAAGTTGCGATGTGGAAAGCAGCTCCACTGGAGGTTCTGGTCCCTAAACCCTAAACCCTAAAACCCTGTATCCCTTCCGGCTGCAGCTCCGGCATCTCCGGAGGCCAAACCCGTTTATTGCGGAATGCCTTCGTAGAAGTGCGGGGACTTACGCTGGCTTCAACCCAGGATATGGTTTTCTTTTGGCCGGAAGTCAAACTCTCAGAAAACGTAGGTAATACACCGAACGTGCAGTACTGACTCGGAGACATGAAGCGATCGTAGGCCACAAAACAAGTCCTTCGAAATACAAAGCTTAAGCACTCGATGCCAGTCTACCTGAAGCAACGACGTGACAAAAAGCGCAGAGAAGTTTGACAGAAGAACATCAGTTTTAGTCGGCAATGTAGATTAATAGAGACTCAGCTATACATATTAAAGCCTCGGAACACCTGACATGCAACTAGCACCATGGACAAGTAACACAAGTGCAGCGATGGGAAGAGGTCAGAACAAGAGGATAACTCGACCCGATGCTTTTGTAACAGCAACAAGAACATCATCATCATCATCATCATCATCGTCATCACCGTCATCATCAACAAGTAGCACCAGCAAGAGAAAAACTACGCCAGAAAACAGTCTGTCAGCACTAGACCACTAGACGGCAGTAAAAGGTCAGCTAGGTTTGACCATCTAGCAAGACTAAACAACAAGCTCACAATAGGAAAGACGGTAGCGAGGAAAGGCAATATGTTATACAGTTTTTACATGAAAACTACTATCATTAGACGCAGGGACTGGCGGAAGCGCAGAATAGCAAGTCTGGGGATACGATCAGCTGTAGATAGTGGCACATGGAACAGCGAGGAACTAGGGGGCACGACCGAGCAACGGCAACAAAGTGCAACCTTACAGCATTCTTTAGTCTGAACGCGTCGAGCACCGCAACAGTTTCGGAGCACAAAGGGGTCACATTCACTTCATAGGGCAACATTACATAAAACTACGATAACCAAGAGCAAACATGCCGTGAATAGGATGAGATTGTCAAGAACAGCCTTTTGGCCCCTCCTCTTTGGAGCGCATTGCACACCGCGAAACCGGTGATGAACCGAATCAGCGGCACATAGGGCCACAATTGCGGTTCAAGCTGCTAAGTCCCGACATGATCACTTACTTCCTAACCACTGCTGGTTGGCAAAACAACCTGAACCCGTTTAGCCTACAGCATTGAACTGAACAAGGCTCTAGTGGTTCTGATGACTTGTTTATACTCTGATGTGCGTCAGGCGTCCGACACACACGACCATGTGTACCAGGTTTCCACAGCCTCCGCACTTGAATTGCCTGCAACCGTCATTGCTTCTACCTATGAACTACTGAAACTGTTGGTGCAGATGGGCCGCTCATGGGGTTTGAGGTGGGGATGGGTAGTAAGGCTGCTGCTGCTGCTGCTGCTCCGGCTGTTGAGGATGATAATGATAGTTCTGATGACGTGACGCGACCAAAGAGCGGACGCTGCTGCTGGATGTGCTAACTGTGAAAAAGCTTCAGGGGGTTGTCTGTCCACCCGTGATATACATCAGGCGTCCTAACGATGTTTTTACATTTCTTGAAGCACTAGCACTGGAGCTCGCGGTAGTAGAGCTCAGAACTTATTTTTGTATGAGCTGTCAAACGCCACGGCACAAAGGTCGGAGCTCAACGCTGTGGTCTGCAACGATCTCGGAAAAGCTCTTGCTCAGTTGGATTCAACCGGCATGTAGGAGAAAGCTCAACATAAATCTCCGAATTTGAGGCTCTCAACTCGGGTTTGAGACTCCGGATTTGATGCAGGCAAGCCTTACCGACAACCGAGAACGATGCCCATCGATATTCTGAATGAAACAGGTCTGGCTCTTGGTGTAAGTGCAGGAACAAACATCCTTGAAGTGAGAGCTGCTCCTTGTCATTTCATGCATATCTCTGGAACCACCACGCCACATGGCAGCAGAGATCATATGCACCAGTCCTCGAGTTCCTCAGGGCCTCCCGCATTCGGAATCGGACTTAGTTCCGCCGGTACCTTTTCGATCCTTTTCCTAGGCCAAAGGTTGGTTGATGTCTGAGCGCATATGTGAGAGGTCTCGGTCGTTGACCTTAGGGTAGTTGTCCGGGTGGGTCGGGTTTTCCAAGGATTTT